GGTTCAAATTCCGTGAACGGGCTGGCTGCATGGACGTTTTTGTTGTTTTCTCCATTTTCTCCATGTGTAACGTGCATACAAGACAATTTCCTTCAAGTCCTCCACTAAGGCATCCCTCGCCTTGGGCAGATAGCTCTCGAGAGCTTTGCCATAGTTAAACAAACCAACCACGATTATAGATCGATTATAGATTATAGAACGAGAATAACAAAGAATCTGAAATCGGCCTTTATCGAGTGTTGGCATTGAGTGGCACATAAGAACATTTTTCACCAAGCGCCTCGCGAATAATCCGTAGCATTCTCATCCGCCAAAACATAAAATCTTTAATACACTTTTCATTATTTAATCAGTTACTTAAAAAATGTAGCGGTTTCAAAGCGAAAAGCATATTTCTTAACCATCGCACTTTTATTTTACTTTTAAAAACGTATCTAAATGAATTTAATTTAAAATAGTTTACAATATATTCAACTAACTTTTACCAGCCTTTTCTGTAAATCGCATATTTCATTTGAAGCGTCTTTTTTATTACCTAGCTAATAGAGAATCGCTTTATTTTTTATAAGGAACTCTTCGACAAATATAATCTGAAGTTTTTGCATTTCCCCTGCCACTTTTTTCCGTTGTATAATAATTTTATTTACATTTTCCTAAATAAAAAAGCTTTAATGATATTCAGTTATTTTTGTACATCTGACAATGGAGTGGTCTTACTTTCGTGACTGAAACTATTAAGAATCTTATGCTCAAGATGAGGGATTACTTCGGCATAATCAGCCCAAAGCAGTAGCTGCGTTAAACAAGAATATTCCTTCGTTTTAATTATTTACAACTAAGTTATGCTTTTGTTCGGAATAACATTTTGCGTAAAGGCGCAGGTCTCTTTCGAATTCTTGCTCTACTGGAGAGAAGGAGAGCGAAATGAATGCGTACAAAATTGAATTATTTAGATTTTACTACCAAATTGGTTTTTCACACAGGTAATAGATGGCAGCACTAATTAAATATTTCTGTTCATTTTTTAATATATTACGTTTTGATAGCGAATAAATGTTACATTAATATCTCGAGAGATGGGGAAAAGAATAACTTTTTTTTCACGTGAAAATTAAGATTTTCCGCAAATAATTTAATACCAATTTAAAATTTTTTTGGAATGCATTTGTCCTAAATGCACATGAAAAATTATCAAGACTCGTGCCGCCATCTATTGGAGAATAGTGTATTAACTTTTTCTTAAATTCATTTGAAAATAAAATGCTAGAAAACCTAAAACTTTGAATACTGTGTTAATTGTAAATAAACTCTGACATTGCTTAAATTCAATTTAAATGGTGCAAGGGTTTATGCTAGGCTTTCTACCAGCTGGTATTCACAGAATTTTGCAGCTTTTAAACACACCGCGAAGCAAGGTCCGTGCAGTGCCTTGACCGCGAAGGTTAGAAAAATATTCTTAACATTCTGAAGATTAATTACTTATTCTTTTATTTCCTGATTAGGAACAAGGATGAGGAAAGGAGGATTTTATAATTTACAACTATAAAGTTTTAAACATATGCTACATTCTCTAATATTTAATCCCGTAGGATCTCAGAACAGAGCTGAAACTTCTAATAACCGTGGAACGAAGAGATTTTTATAGACTGATTTGCTGCCGTCTTCTTTATCTGTTCTTCTTTACATTTTTATATACCACAAAAATACGGGCCAGATTTTTTAGAAAAGTCTCCAAAATCATTTTGAGTTTGTCGAGCACTTTGTTGTGAATGAATTTCTATCAGTTTCATATATCCTGAATTTCAAATTTTTGCCATTGGGGTAATTTTTCATTCAAAAATTCTTTCCTCTGCTTCTTCCGGATAATCAAGCAGCTCCATTTATTTTTAATAAATGCTTTTGCAAACTGTCTTTTCAGTGTCAAAAATTTCCGTAACTCTTGGAAGAAGGAGATTATCCGTTAAGAGCAAATACGAAAGACTTTGTAGTCTGCAATCTAAGTAATGTTGATTACTATCATCAAAACAGTTGTAATTTTATATAAGACCATTAGACCCAGCAGCTACATAATGGTAAATCTGCTGAACACTAGTAGTTCGACCTGAGTTCGATTCCAGGCAACGGCCTGTTTACACGTTATATTTGTGTTTTTATAGTTTCCTCCATGCGTAACATTGAATGAGCCGATTATCCTTAAGTTCTCAAATGCTTTAACGTAATCAAATAAAACCAAAGCAAGGTAGAATTAACAATGGAGTGGTCTTACTTTGAATACTGTGTTAATTGTATTAATTAAGTTGTTCTAAACCAAAGAGGAATACCATAAATTTGGGGGGGGGAAGAGACTGCAGTCAATCTTTTGTTTAAAGGTTAAGTATTTAGTTTTATTTAGAAATATTTTTCAAGTGTTAATGTTTACCAACATTTTCTCTATACTTTGTTGTTTAATTTATAAAAAATGTTAGAAAATAATTTAGATCTGAATAAATACATACATATCAAGTTTCGAAAGGACCGGAGGGGAATAATCTTTTAACAATGGTGAAAGGGTGCATAGAGCGAAAACGGTTGAGAAATACTAATGGAATGCCATTAAAGAGCATAAAAATATGTGCGGTGTTTTTGATGAGGGGAAAGTAGAGAAGCGTTACAGAACGAAAGTACAGAGTGTCAATTTCTTGATAGTTTAGCGTCATACACTTTAACAGTTTATTCTTCAGACAGTCTATTTTAAATTCACGTTGATTTTAAAGTTATTTATTTACAAAATACCAGGCTACTAGTGATTAGACTATTTGACGTCTTATCTTCCAGCACTTCCTGGGTTACAGATTTAAAACCGTTAAAAGTATGTGCATGTATGTGTTTAAATGTTCTCGGCCCATGTGGTGTCCATAATCACAAAGGGAACATATTGATGAGTTCTTAATATAAAACAGATAAGCAGTAGGAGAATCATGTTCGATTAAGATACAACTGCAGGATGGGAAGAATCTGGAATACTGTATCTTTTGTTGAATAGACATTGCAAAACCTGTTTCTACTCTTTCACACACGGAGTTAAGTCATGAATTTTCCTAAATTCCATGTTTATCAGTCTCATAACAAAGTAAAGGGTCATATTTCTGCGTTACTGGAGAACAGTTGTGTTTACATACTGAGAATTTTTCTTTTCTTTTGTTTCCAGCAGTCTAGTGGGTATGACCATTGAACTGTGGTAGTTCGGTTAGACTTAAATCTAGGCACAAATAGCTTACTATATGCACGTTTTCATTGGTACTCCCTATCTGCAACATGAATTCAAAGCAATTTTTCTTAGATATATAATCATGAAAGAACTTGGCCCACCAGCGGCCGAGCGGTAAAGTCGCTGAACACTGGTAGTTCGGTCCGAGGTTCGAATCCCGCGAACGGGCTGGCTGCATGCGCGTTTTCGTGGTTTTCCCCATGTGTAACGTGTATACGAGCCAGTTTCCCTTAGAAAGTCCTCCACGATGGCATCCCTCCTCTTAGGCAGATAGCCATCGAGGCTTTGCCATAATCACACACACACACACACACACACATGAAAGAACTTGTATTACCAGCGGTTAAAGATTACTGAAAATTGATAGTCAGGACTACAATGTTCGAATACGCGTAAAAGGACCGATTGGCTGATTTTCATGATTTTTCCAAAGTTGTTAACGTGTTTACGAGCCAGTTTCGCAAATCCTTCACGTCGTGTGCTTTGCCATATTTAGAAATAATCAACAACTATGAAAGGATGCCTTTTCTAGGCAGATAGTTTTTGTACTCTTTGCCAGTTGCAGAAAAACTTGAATCCATCAAATCTTAGCTCTATTCTTATGAAGAACTTTCATTTAACGAATCGAAAGGATTTTCTAACGTAAACTCTTATTAAATATACGGAACTTCGAAGATGTAGTTGATTTAGTTTAATGAAAAATACCGATGAAATGGAAAATTTGCATATGTGGGGCTAGTTATCATCCCTTGATAACATAGGGTAAATATGTTTAGCTTTGATTCGATTAAAAATAATAAAAAAAATCTGAAGTTTCAGATTTTGAAATTATGTCCAAAGGGCAGTTTTTTTTTAACATTTTGTCTGTTATCTGTATTTATTAAATATCACGTTCTTTGCACTTAAACCATAAAATTCAGTTCAAGAGCAATATCGCAAAATAGTTTTAAATTGAGCATATCCTTTAGAATTTCCTATACAGAGTCTCGCACCCTGAAAATAAAATGTTTTTTTTTTTTTTTTTTTTTTTTTTTTTTGTGTGTGTGTGTTGTGTATGTGTATGTGTGTATAATGTTGCCATTGCTCGTTTTGAAATCCTTGGGTTTTGTTAATCAGAAATTTCCTAAAGTTTAACAAAATATGAAATCGATAATAAAACATTCCAAATTTGGACTTCCACATGCCTACATTCGCAGTAGGATTACGTCATTCAAAATTCGATGGCTCTGTATACCGTTGTTTTATCACAGTTCGAGAAATATACATACATTTATGCAGATTTTTCATTATTTAATTTCTTCAAATATAATGCAGGACTCCAACATTTGGTGGCAACAGTGTGAAAAGTGAAACGGACATTTATAGTGAACCCAACGCAAAATCGCAAAACGAAAACAATAGTCCTTCAGGGACAAAGCCCCTTTGGACTACTAACCGTCGACTGAGGATTTGGGCTGAATACTATAAAATTATGATTCACAATTAAGTCTTAGATGACATTTAAAAAATGAAAGAAAGGAAGCCTAAGACGGAGAAAATTACTCTCCATTTAAACTCAATAGCAGTACTTAGAAATAAGGTATGCTGGCAAGATTTTGCTTTATTCTAGTTAGTGGTTGCAAAATATTCTTACTTGTACCTGCACGAAACTAACATATTTTTATACTTTTTTTATAATTATGTTCAGAAAATTGTATTTTGTTTTCTGTTGTATAATTTCTAGATTTGACATAGTTTCTTTTATCCTTTTCAGGTACATTCTCGAACTGGTAAATACGAAGCATAAATGCTCGTTTACTGGAGGACTGGAATTTCCAAGGTCCAAACATGTTTCGAAAACCTGTAGCAGCAATAATTATCATTTGCTTTTTCATGAAGACTGTTGTTCACTCTAGGACTGTAAGATCATCAGAACATCCGCCTGTGCATGTTCATCCAACTTACAATACCACTGATCATTCTGTCAAGAAAATAGAATACGTAGAACATGATGATCCCCATCCCGATCTTAACTGTAGCAGATATTTGATCGAAAAGGAATATATACTTCTAGAGAATGGTAGTTTGTTGCTTCCAGGATCCCCGAATGCTCTAGAATATAAGACATTCTTCTTGCAGAACGACACAGCATTTCTTTGCGTAGGAACAGAAGCTCCAATAGAAACTACTCCATCATCTCCTTTGCATTACTTCAGCAAAGAATTTCTTAGCTGTGCACATGTGCTTATAGAACCAGATGAGTATCAACTTCTTTCAAACGGAAGTATCTACATAGGGATTTATTCTAAAATGTACAGCCCGAAGAACTATTATATCCAACAGAGCGGTGTTTATGTATGCGTTCCTCATTATGAAGAGATGACACAGAACATGAGTACAAACGACACATTTACTGTATACATGAACAAGTTTTCCGAAGGATTTGCCTATGTAACGTACATTGGATTGCTGTTATCAATCATTAGCTTAGTGTCGCATCTTGCCGTCTTTTGTGTTGTGTCTTCGGTGCGCAATTTGCCTGGTTGTTGTTTGGCATCTCTGAGTATTTCACTTCTGATAGCCTACTTTTGTTTTATTACTATCACTGTTCCTGAAGCCACCGAACATTGTATAGGACTTGGCATGGCTATATATTACTTCTTCCTCACATCTTTCTTTTGGATGAATGCTATAGCTTTTGATGTTTGGCGATCTTTCCGCGTAGTCATGAAAGAACTTAGAATCTCCAGTCACAGAGTGCCCTGGAGGAGGTTTATGCTTTACTCCCTTTACAGCTGGCTGACACCAGGCTTACTTATTGTACTAGTCAAAATAAGTGATACCACAGAAATATTACCTGAAGAGTTCAGACCATCCTTTGGGACACCAACGTGTTGGTTTGGACAGCGTAAGGCACTGCTGATTTTCTTCGCTGTGCCATTGTGTGTTGTGATGCTTCTAAACGCAATTTTCTTCTTGGATGTAACGTATGTAATTAGCCGGGCTACACTTAAGACTAGCCAGTCACATGAAGCTACTCTAAAGAAACGCTTTTTCATGTTTATGAGATTAGCTCTCATAATGGGACTCACATGGATCGTAGGACTAATCGCAGGTTACGCCGACAACGAGATTATGTGGTACCTGTTCGTGATTCTCAATACTTTGCAAGGACTCTTCATCTTCGTTGTTTTTTCTTGCAGCTCCAAAGTCAGAGTATTTTGTTGCAAGAAATACAAAAAGCACATGAGTACTAGAGGAAGTACATCTGTTAGGACAATATCGCAAGTTTCAGCAGCTGTCTGACAATTGTATGCTTTAGAAAATGGAACATTATTTCAAATGTAGGTTTTTAAATTACCTCTTGAAGAGGTTCATATGGACCATGCATATAATTTTTTAATATTTTATGTATAGTTTGTATCATGTGTACACAGGATTATTTTACATGTAGATTTAAAAAATTGCCTCTTGAAGAGGTTCGTATTGCACCATGTATATAATTCATCGCAATATTTGACGTATAGTTTGTGTCGTGTGTGTATGCACTCTTTTAAAATTACCTCTCATGAATCATGCATATAATTCTTTATAATATTTTATGTATAATTTGTGTCGTAAAATAGCATTTCTGTGTAGCTACACAGAAATGCTATTTCAGTCGTAGATTTTTAAACTACCTCTGAAGAGATTGTATTTTGTATATAATTCATTGTAATATTTGACATATAGTTTGTGATGTGTATGCGCACCAAACAGTTCGCATAATATTCTTGCATTTTTATTCCTCAAACTTCAATATTTTCTAGATGCGGTTCTATTAGCTGTTAAACGTTTTAAATGAAAATATATCCATTAGATGTAAGAATTGTACGCACAATTTAAATACGTTTAAGTTTCTTTGTAAAATATTGTATGAAGAAAGTTTTGTAAATAAATTTCAGTTTTACAATGTGTAATGTTTTTTCATTATTTTTTATATTTTGAATATTGATTTTGGCTTTCTTTTTCATTTCTTTCTGTGGCCGTTATTTCAGTATTCGAGAAATGATTTGAAGTGCATGAAGTTATAGTTGACTGTTTTGCAACAATCAACACTCTCCTCCGACTTGAATTCTAGGTCAGGGCCAATTTACCCATTATCGATTTTGGTTTTAGGCACAATGTGCAGTGTCTACAAAAGTTTTAGAACGTAGGAAAACGGAATTAATAAAAAATATTTTCGGGAATCAAAGTTTCGCAATATTACTCAATTTTCACTGGTAAAAATTAAAGCTGAAGTAAAAAATGGGTTTTCTAAATAAAGGCTTTTGAAAATGATTTTCGTAGTTATCTAATTCTTAACGTTTTTCAGTTTTATTAATCATTCACATAAAGTAAAATACTAGCACAAATTACCAATTCCAGCATCTTAAATAATTTTTTTAATGCTGTTAATGGCTTTGAGTGCCAAGGTAGAAAAGGGATACACATTATAGTTTGAGTAAGATGATTTTTTGGACTAATAACACAAAAATAGATGCTTGAAATGCACCTTTTGCAATAAAAAAATAAAAAGCATTCCTTTCTTTAGGCAGATAATTTTTGCAAGGTTTGCCAACTAAACAAATAATAAATCTGCAAAAATAAAAATCTGTTATTCTCATTCACTTACATTTGTCTCCTAGTGGCATTAATGAGAAGTTGAGTTATTGTAACTAATGAACCACAACTGAATCGTTAATAACAGCGTATCTGGCACAGATAGAAATATATCAAAAGGGAAGATTAATTTGTCGTTTGTACTGCTGCGACTTAGCTCATTTGTCTGGCAGAAACTTCACTAATTGTATCGCGAAGAAACGTGCAGCTATGCATTTGTTGTTGACACCTAATAGGTATCAAGCTCCACCCATATCCGTACTGTCTTTAAATGAGAAGCCTCCGAGAAACATCCTGGGATCTCCTTTCGCTCTTTCTCTACTGTTTTTAAAGTCCTTTGTATTTAAAGTCCTCCCATGCTGTAAAGACATTAAAAATTTACAAGTATTTAAGCTTTCTCCGAGATTTGAAAATGAGGACAATGTTCATCAGGGCAGCCAAAAGCAACTGTAGCCTTGCCGGAATGCGAACTTGAAAACTCTGACAGATAACGATCGTAAAATCGTACAAAACGAGAAGGTTCATGTAGAGAGTAGTTTGATTTTTATAATTTATGAATAGTTTGCTTATTATTTCAATATTGAATGTGGATGGTGGTATCATCTCCGAAATATTTCATAAATCATAACAAGGTTTAAAGAAATACACAGGTGCTGTGAGGCCCTAATTATTCGAAAGTAGAAGGTAAGGCAGTCTCATAAATTGATCGCAAGCATTCATAAGAAATGCATAGTTACGTGAAAATTATGAAGATGATGAGAAAAATGAATAAGTGATAAATATTAACATGATTTATTAAAACAGCAAAACATTTGAGCTAATTGTATCAGAAGGGAAAAACAGATGTAAAATTTATAATTATATGCAAAAGAAATTTAGATTTTGAATAAAATTTTATCGATTTCGAGGGCATTTTGAGGCAAAATATTTTTGATCATGATGAGAACTACTGTCAGAATGCTGTCGAAATATATAGTTTTATTCAAAATCTACATCAAACAGCATTGCGTTTTTTGCCTAATTTTAGCTATTACTGTTGTACTCGCTATGAACCATGTATGGCTGATTGTCCTGTTACACTACCAAAATTTGATTAAGATTACTAGCTAATGTAATTTTGTGAGACTTTTGAAAAACACAAAAAAATCGTTTCCATCAGGCAATAACTCTTCATTGTATACTTCATCTAAAGTATATGGGATTTAATCCTCAAATGAGAGGAGGAAAGTACTATGACATTACATGACATGAACCCATAATTTTGGGACTTACATCGTAGCTATTCGTTCAAAATTAGCTTCATTTCCGTAGATGTATTTCTCTTGTGAAGGCTTACAAAATACTATATCCATACAATTGAAATGGCGATTGAAATACGCCAGGTTTATATTGGATATGGAGAAAGCAAGCGCTGAGGTTCACTTCAATTTTTATTGCCAATTGATAATGCCATACGTAAGGAATGCAAATATAATACTTATTTCATTCACAGAGGAATTAAATCAATTTAGTAATGAGTGCGTAATGATCAAACTGGTCACACTTACCTTTTGGAGATACTCGTAAACAGTATCGGTTTCCTTTTGCCACTTTGACAAGATCGAAACAATAGTCCTATGATATGTGTTACTACAGGAATCAAACTATTTAACACGGTGAGGATGACATGTACAAGTACTTTTAAGCAAAATAAACGGATGCAGATCAAACGTCTGTTTGTTCCCTTGGAATCCAATCACCTGTTTTTTGCTCTATGATATGCTATAGTTATTGGTGATAACTATTCTTGCAGGGAATTTTTGTTTTATGAAATGCTCTTTTTTTCTTTTAAAATTCGCCTCCATATGACCATGAATGTGGTCTTTGTAATAATTCGGATTTGACCAACCAGAGCCTTTGCATAACCGCTCGTAGTTATTATTGGTGTGTTTTCCTTTGTTGTCGAATAAAACCACACATATGGCCTTCAAATAAAAACATATAGAATGTTTGCATTTACTAGTGTAAAAGTTATTTGACTGCAATCTATACTTCCTGAGTGGACAGTTCCATTCAGAAAACAACACCACCATATTACGGAATGTTTTCTTTCTCAAATTGTAGGGATTATGTATCTTTGTATCTGAAAGGGCGGAGTAACAAACTTCGGAAAATAATGGTCATGCGTTTAAATTTATGAAAGCAGCTGGAATCTTTGAATAGCTAAAACATCGCCTCTCCAAACAGCGAATAAAAACCGTATCTTTTGACCAGCCTGTCACCATGCTTCCGAGATTCACTTTCAATAAATTCAATGTTGGGCATCCTTTGCAGTTCCGTATAAATATTTGCCCGAGTAACCTGTGCCGAGTTTACTGGAGTTTATTTATTCTATCTGACTGAGAAATAAGATTTCCTGTTGTTCGATATGATCTTATGACCTCCCTTTTTTAAACGATTCTTAATGCTATCAAAATCCTGTGTGCTAAATACTTCCCCATCAAAATCTACGCATCCGCAATTCTTCGAGATTTTGCAATTCCCTAGCTGGTGGGAGTTGAATTTATGGCTTGCTGTTTAACCGAAATGCTAGGAAAAGTGCATGTTGATGTTGAACAACAGCATTTGTATTGGCTAACATAGCATTTCAGATGGATGTACGAAGTGTTATAATGTCTTTCATGCGTTTTTTTCGTTGAAACTGAACAAACATAAATAGAAGTTCGCAGTCGGAAATCCTTTTACACGTCACAATAAATACAGATTGAAATAAATCTCTTTTAATCTAGCCAGAAAGACTGTTTTCTGCACGACGAAACATATTTTCTTGCTCGTCAGTAGCTCCACTATCGGGGCATTCTCAGAAATGCGAGGAAAAGTCAGTTTTTTTCAGCATGGCGGGTGAAAGAGCGCGTCATCAAACGGTGAAACGTTGTAGTGCTTCGACCCACAAGAACTGCCAGCTTTTTCTTCCGTTGGAAGATTCGCACATTTTCCCGAAATGTTGGAACTTAATTTTGAATACGTTCCATGTGACATTCAAGTTCCTAAAATCGTCAATAAATTCGCGCGAATGCATTTTGATCAGGGCGCCACGGATGATTTCTGCAAAACACAAGGTTTCGAATGTCGTAAAACTTTGCTCCACAGCAGATAACACAACGCTAAGTGGGTCTTCGGAAAAGCCATCATTGGGGATCGACAGATCCTCTCTCTGAATCCTGACAGGGAAAAAAAACTGAAGAAAGGGGGCATTTTGAGGGATTTGAATTAACAAAACTGAAATGAATTACCTTAAAAAATTATAGTTTGCTTTAAAGTAATTTCTCATAATAATCAGATTTAATCTTGTAGAAATAATTTCTATTCCATTCTCATAGTCTGAAATCGAGGTTCAATAAAACTGAATAGAAGCTTAAAAATAATTTAAATAGAACCTGTCTGTAATTATACACAGAAATTATGAGGAAATCGGAGGAAGAAAGAGTTGATTCATACTGGCAAGTCTGTGCAAGCAATGTTCCTTACGATTGATATTAAAAAAATATATATATATAATGAAGAGTGATTTTTCAAAATAGAATTTGCGTTTTAAAGAAGGCTGAAGGAAAAATAGAGGGGAAAAAGAAATCTAAAAAGAATTCAGATTTTAGCGCCGCACCAGAGGTTTTGGCAAGTATTTTTTAGCCCTCGCTGACCTCGCAGATTACCAATATGTTGTTGAAGTCACTCCTGCTAACACATAATTTTTTCCCTCTTTTTAATTTTATTATTAAATTATACTTTCTTTGTAGTATCCCCAGGTAAATTTCAACAGCAAAATCACAAAAAATTTTGAAAGCAACATTTTTAGAATTTGTAATACAATGTTAAGTGACGCCATTAAAAGTTTTTCAGTCTTTTGTACTAGTTCATCATATCAATGTTTAGCTTTGTTTAGTAAGGCGATTTACACAGCTTTTGGGTCTTTCTATTATTGACTTCTCATCTTCATAACTTCATTTATTAAACATCACTTCCTTTGAATTTACGCCACGTAAAATTCAACAGCAAAATTACACAGAAATAATATAATTTCAAGTAATCTGTTAGGTGTTGCCATATGTTTTTTCCTATTTCCTTCAAAAATAATTCAAAAGTATATTTTATAGATACCAAAGATTTTATAGTTTTATAAAAGATTTTACATTTTATAGTTTTATAGCTAGAAAGAAAGTATATTTTATAGTAATAACATTTGATAGCAACATCTTTTTATTAGTGTTTCCATTAATTTTTTTTATATATGCTATATTATTTCTTCAAAAATAATGCTTGCCGATAATAATATTTACTG